GCTCCCGCGCCTCGCTCAGCCAGTGAGTGGGAACCGGTCTGTATGTGGGATCCGAACCCTCGGCGGGAGCGCCACGGCGCTTCCCAAGCGGCGCACTACAGCAGTGCGCCACCGGGCTGGCCCTACCGGTCATCTTTAAAAAAAAAAAAAAAATACAACCCTCCTCCCCAGGGTTAAGGAGATTAAATGAGGTAACAGAGCTCACCAGCTGCCTGTCCTGTTTGTGCCCTGCCCTCATGAAACAGCCTGGACTATTGTTCCTGTCATTTGGATCTCATTTGCTCTTTCTCCTGATGAGAGCTGAGCTGAAATCTGTTGCTTTGTTGGAGGGGAAGTCTGCATCAGTGGCATACCTATCATTCTGTTGGCCCCCATGTCTGCTGGAAGGGCAGACACCAAAAAAGGGGAGAATGTCAGCCTAGCGAGAGACCTATTTCTTTTGTAACCCTAAAGCTGAAGGAGGACCCAAAGTGGGGAGAGCAGATTTATATCATGTGCTGAGGGGTCTGAGGAAGCCCTCAAACATTGCCTCCTAAATCCCTGGAATTTAGCAGCATCTGTAGGAATGCTACTTCTATAAAATCCACTCATTCATCTAATGCCATAATTTCTCAGTGCTGTGGGCTGATATGATTAACTCTATCATGGGTATTCAAGTGCTAAGAAAGATGAGGAGAGGTAAAAAACTGCTAATGCCAAATAAAAGGAATGCCATTTGGAAAACATGGAAAATCATTATTTTAGCCACTGCTATCTCATGAGATGCCTATCAATTCCCAGGTAAGATGTCTTTCAGGAAGATCCACTAATATTGCTCTTTTTGCATTTGTAAAGGCAAACTTTTCCATCAAAACTTGATATATCCCCAACTTACAAGGCATGAGGGTGGCTAGGCCCTGAAAGCTGCAACTGATAATTCGTAGTGCTTTCTGGGAGTCCCATTTATTAAGTGAGTTCATTTAGCTGCATGGACTGGGCCTTTTCACAAGATAAATGGTCGAGGGAAGATGATGAGAGAGGAAAGAGAGGAAGGGGATTGAGGCCAGTGGAATCCCTCCCCAAAGACTAAAGTCAGTCCTGGTGTTAAAGCTAGTGAATTTTAAAAGTACGTTTCCATTCTGCAAGGCTTTTAAAAAAATATTGTGTGCTCAGATGGCACCTTTAATCATGAAGAACTTTTGGCTGAGTTCCAGGCTGATTCTGCTGGCACAGAGGACTCTGAGATCATACCCTATATTCAGATATTTCATCCATTTCTGAAATAAAGAGGGGGAAATGGAGCATATTCAAACAGTTTCATAGCAAAACCATACCAAGGTGAAAAATGAAGGACATCCTACCCATTTGGAGTTACAGAAAGGTACTATTAATTCTAAACAGTTATGTGTCTTTTTTTTTTTTCATTCTTAGGGTTTTGCAATAAACTAAGCAGCTTGCATAAATCCAAAGGCAAGCTCCTATTTCACGGATATACAAATGAAGGCAGACAGATTTTGTGATTTACCAAAGACCACTTTAACTTAAAAAAGAAAAGGGGGAGGCAAAGGAAAGAGGACAACTCCTAAAGTAGCAGGTTGTGACCTAGGAGTTTGAGCTCTTAGAGGTGAATTTAATCCACACCCTGGCCTAATGTAATTCTCCAGGATGGAAGTGGTCCAGGGCACCAGAGCTAATATTTTCTACCTTTGCCAAAGAGCATGAGGTGGTTTAGTGACAAGCAATCAGAACCTCACTTTTATTTCTCAACTGAGAGAAAGTAAGGTCAGCATCATCTGACAGGCGCTTCCCACCATGGCAGGGCAATGGTTCAAGCTCATCTGAAGGAAGTGGCTTCCCCCTGATTCATCATTGCATCTTGCATCACTGCCTCTTGCATCACTGCTATTCTCTAATATTTCCTATTCAAGGGTCTATTTCAATTGGAGAGTTGGGTCATACAATTTTAGGTGGCAAGATTGAATCACAGCTTTACTCCATGTGTTAGTCTTGAGCACTTGATTACATACTGTGCTTCTTCTTCACTCCATCTGCCAAAGCCTTAGCAGTGGGAAAGGCCTGGGTGATTGCTCTGTGCTTTAGAAATTGAAACCCCACCACTAAATGATGAAATGTGGTTCAGGCAAAAGCTGCTGTGGAAATCTGAAAGCCATTATCTTTTCCACACTTCCTCTCTTTGCCCTCATTTTGTTTGGGAATGCACAGGAACACCCGTGAACAAAAATAAACCAACTTGCCCTTGACTGATTGTTCTGCCTTTTGAATTATCAAACTTGACTACTTCTGGCTCCCAGATATGGTGAAGTATTAGAGACTGCTGGGAAACCAGCCACAAATTAGAGTTGATCTTCCAGCATTTTCTACCTGGAGGAATGGTTCAGGACACTAAAATTAATGAGCCCTGCCCCAGAGTTGATCTGACTTCTGAATCACATTTGGATTTCAGAAATGTAAGAAAGCATGTAACAATCCTGATGTGTTTTCTTAGCTCAGCCCTGTCCATCCACACCTACCAGCTCCTTTTAGAGTTATTTTATACTCAGTCCATACACATTTTGACTATCTGCCCCCAGGAACTGTCTCAACTCAGTCAGGGCACCTTTAAGGAAGACAAAATCACCTTAGGAGGTAGAGGGTGAAACCTGGCAACTCTTCCACAGGCAAATCAATATAGCAGAGTGGTTCAGGGTAGGAGGTTTTGCTAGGGCTTAAATCTGGTTGTCAACTCAAACACAATAGGCTTTGTTACTCCTGTGTAAGGAGGAAATGGAGCAGTTTTTGGCTTTCTCAGACTGTATTGTAGAGTATGCAAGATGGCAATTCCAGGCACAATCTTCACGAGACACAGATCTGCATTTAGCTGTTCAGTGTTCCCCAGCAAGTTAATTAGCTATTTCTGAAATGTATGGAAATATTCAGCATTTTCATACCGAAGCCAATCTCACAGCTTTAATTTTGGAGGGAGGGACTGGGTGTGTGAGGAAGGGGGTCTGTCACGGAAACAGAATAGAGCCCTTTTGGCAAGAGATGCCAACACCTGCGATTTATCTCAGAAATCACACGCTCACTATAATTCCAATACATTTTTTTCTGGTTTGAGCTGGAGGGCTTGCTTGAGATGCCCCGCTATTTATTTCAGTTGTGGGGAGTTACCTCTGGGTACAAAAGTCCTTGGGTGGGAAGTGCAGTGGAACCGTGAAATGCCTCCCTAAGAAATGCCTAACTGCTCAAGCCCAGTACCAGAAGCAGGTACTGGGCTCAGGCAGCGGCTGGGAAGGCTGCAGGGGCCCATGGGCACATCCTCTCACTGAGCGGTAACGGTCCTGGAGAGTGGGTTTGGGGTCCTTTGCTTTATTTGACAACTTATCACGGGGGCTGTCCCAGCATGGTGAAGAAATCTGTGCGGAGGGACTCTGCTCAGAGACTTCCTAAGAACCAGAAGGGAGCGCTCCTGCCGAGTGACAGCACGCCACTCTCCCCCCCACGCCGGCTCCCCTCCCCCGCGGCTAGTCTCCCGGCAGAGGCTTCTAGCGCTAGCCCGACCTCCCCCCTAGCTCCTCACTCGTCCGGGCGGGCCGAGCCTCAGCGGGAGCCCCGCCTGTCTCTGGGCAGCTTGAGCCCCCCGAGCGCTTGCCCAGCCTGTCAGTAACCGTCGTTTGCGCTTTCTTTCTCTCCCTTTCTCTCTCTCTCTCTTTTTTTTTCCTCCGCTTTTCTTTCCCCCTTCTGCCTTTGTCCCGCTTAGTAACTGAGCTCTGACCAATCGCCGCCTCACCGGCCGGCGCCGGCTGCCTCCTAATTGGCCCGCTTGGGGCGCGCAGCCGTCTCCCGCTCCTTCGCTGAAGCAAGGCAGACAAAAGACACAGGCTCCAGGCTCCGGCAACCGGGATCAGCCAATCACCTCCCACCTCACCTCTTTTCCCTCTCCTTCCCCCTCCCTTCTCCCTCCCGGCCCAGCTCGCGTGCTCCCGGCACTGACTCCTGGAGTGCGGCCAGCGCCCGGGATGAACCATTCTGATTGAGTCTGGGGGAGAAGGAGGATAGCGGATTAAGGAGCCGAGGCCTAGAGAGAGGTGGGGAGAGTTGACAGCCGGGACGGAGGACAACTTCTTCAACACTTTCTCAGGCACTGACAGGATCCCTAGTACATGGAGGCGGGATAGAGTGGAAGGGGCAGTGGGGATGCCGGCTCTCCCCGCTTCCCGGCGCGGTTGGGTGATGCCTCAGCGGGGGAGGGGGAGAGGCGTGCGGCGGGAGAGGGTGTCCCCTCCGCGCCGTTAAAATGAAACTCTAGTGGCTGGAGTCAGGGCAGAGCGTGAGAGGAGCCGGCACCGGCGGCGTTGCTCACACCCAGGCTGGAGCGCCCAGCTTAGCAGAGCTGACTCGATTCTCCGACGGGTCCTAATCCCGAGGTTGTGGCAGCTTCGGTTCCGAGCCCGACGGGAACGGAGCCTGAGTCCCGGCCCCGGAGGGAATTGCTCTTTGCAGACCAGTGGGACCCCGAAACTTGAACGCAATCCCCAACCTCCTTTTTATGCCTTCCTTTGTCACTTCCCCAGCTTTCCCCCGACGCGGTTTTTTTTTTTTTTTTTTTTTTTTTTTTTTTTTTTTTTTCTTCTTTTCGTTCTACCTCCACCGAAGGACACAAAAGTAGCTTCCGCGGAAAGATTTGGAGGCGGTGGGAGCTTTTCTCTTCGGAGAGCGACTGTGTAGGAAGGATTTTGGGGGAGCCGCTTTTTAACATCTCTGCCCTTCGTCCCCCAAGTCTCTCTGTTGAGGGGGAAAGCCCGTAGCTTGAAAATTCGGGGGGCATACTGCTGGGTGCTGTAGGAGAGAGGGAGAGGACGCCGTCTCGTCCTGGTAGTTGGCTGGACTTGGACCGGCCGTTGAAAACCCGCAAGTACATTTCCTTGTGGAACTTTTACAGATATATATTTTTAGATTTTTAAATACCAGATTAAAAAAAAAAAATATATATATATATATATATGCTTTCTATATATTTCCTGACGACCTGCCCCTGACAGCGCGATGTACAATACGGTGTGGAGTATGGACCGCGATGACGCAGACTGGAGGGAGGTGATGATGCCCTATTCGACAGAACTGATATTTTATATTGAAATGGATCCTCCAGGTACTTGGGAGAAAAAAAGAATCTTGTAATGGGTCTGATTCGCGTTTAACAAGACCTTGGTGATGTTTCCAGGGCAGAAGTCTTCCTGGGTGCGCTAGGTTCGGGTTGAGGAGCAGATTTGCAGTTAAGACCTGCAGTAAAACTGCTTCTGGTTTACACGTTTAAAGTTTGCAGTTAGGACCCTGATCCTATTGTCCTGCTAAGGTGGGGGTGGGGACTGGAGTTGGGGTGGGAGGAGAGATCCGTTTTTTTGTGTGTTGTTTTGGTTTTTGTTGTTGATTTGTTTTTGTTTTACTTCTTTGCCTTTGAGTGTTGGTTAGGTTTTTTTCGTGCCCTCTACTTTCCTAACCCCCCCCCCCCCCCCTTAAAGACTCTTT